TGACAACCAGCGCGACGAGGTTCACGTGGAAAACTTGCTTTCAAACTGAACTAGCGACATCAGCTGCGGTTAACAACCACAAGCAGACCCAACTTATCTCGAAAGTTTCTCAGACAGGAACCGGCAAATCAGAATATTTGTAACCCTTATAATTCATTATTTTAAAAACTGACGTGTAAACCTTTAGCGAGGATCATCGACGTGTTGCAGATCATATAATATGCATCCCTGGCATGTTTAGGAGGTAGGTACTGTAGAAATTTAGAAGTAACGGAGCTGTGGCATAACGTTGCGTAACTTTGATGGAATTATGCACTAAGACATTCTTTAGTTAGAACCCACGTTGTGAGATTGTTGATAAAGTACATAAGGAACACTGTTTCTGATATGCAATTAATACTGAGGTACAATCAATGAAAATACGCTACGTATATCTGTGCACTGCAGGCAACAAAATTCCATAAAACCAGATCCTGTATCGATAGTCCGCAATGCGTTTAGGAGCAGCCGGTTGGATGCTTAGGCTGCGAAACCTGATTTGAAAGAGTTGAGCGTGAATTAAGCACATTATTAGCATCATAAGCATATCAATAGCATATTACGTTTATCAGACAAACTGTTATGTTGTATTTTCTGAGCCGAATGAAAAACAAATACTGTGGTGAAGGGAACCGTACTGTCACTATAAATGCTAGGTATTGGGTTCGAGTCCATGCTTAGAGTACAATATTTTCTTACTAAAACTGCTAATTTCGCTGAGAAATGATGCAACCAACCTTGAAATGGATAGCAAGTGGCTGTCTTCAAAATGTAGAGACGCCATTTAACACTAGTGTCGTCATGTCAGGGAGCAGGAGAAAAACAGTCATGCTGCCTGATGCGAGAGCCTTACGGTAGCAACTCACCCTAACCCAACTGACAGCTGACCAATACTCAGCAAAAAATGTTGCCTCTAAATAACAAAATACCGCCGAACAGTACCTGAGCGATCGTCCAGAACGTCTAGGATGTTGCTTCTGACAAACACCTTGCTCACATTGTTTTTCATAACCTTCACAACGTCACTGATTTGCTGCCTGACCCTATAAAACGCGATGAAAATCTCGCAAAGCAGTCACGAAGTGTGAACACACTTTACTATGTGTACACTTACTTTTGAACCGTACTTCCATCGTCGCTTAACGACGGCTCTCTAAAAATGACCTTTGATATATATAAACATGCAAACAACAGCTCCAAGTGAAAAGCTGACTGACTTCAGAATACACGCGTCGTCTTCTTCAGCATCATGATTCAGCAACACCTCCTGAAATCAACAGTAAACATACTGTAACAGAGGGTTACCACAGCTTTGCATCACGTTACACAACTGACAGCCGTAACTGGTAAACAACATAACCGTAGGACCTGAGACAACTGTTTGCACGATCTAGACAGCGAAATCAATACTAGATCCATACTGAACATCATATTAGACCGCGTTATTGCCTATGGCTAAGTCATATGTACAGGTCAGTGTTGCACTAGCGACTAAAACATCACTATCGTCGCTGATTTATAAGACTCATGAATACTGTTAACAGACTCACGAACTGGTCATCTGAAAAGTCACATGATTCTTCAACATAATCTAATGCCTCCACCTGAACTTTCATGCCCTAGAATCAGAAACATCTTATGACCACAACCAGAAAATTAGACTGATAGTCTGTCGACTACATCAGCGCTTTGTGTACCAGGTTTGCGTAGGCAAGAACTTGCAGCACAGTCGAATTATTACCTTTCTGAACTAGCTGAATTAATTATCGTTACAGGCCTGGTCAATCAAGAGTGCTGAAAACCCCTCAACAGCGCAATACCCTCAGAGAAAAACATTGCAACGGGTATAACTGCCTTACGGAGGAATGACACTCATGACATGCAAAAAATTGCGTCTTTCAGATGTTGAAGTCAGCAACCTTAAACTGTAATAACCTACATAACACTCAATTGCCTTTGAAAATGGCATAACTATCCTTCCGCATTTAAACAACAGCATGCCAAGGCTTACTGTAGTTTCTAATGTAGAGAAACAAAACTCGATTGCGATAATTTGTGACAAAGCTACTAACCTGAAGTTATCTCACAGTATTTAATTAAACTTTCGTTATGCTCCATTAAATCAGGTAAGTCGGTTAGAATGCCTTATAAAACTCACAAGTTGAATTCCCTTTGTAAAGCTAAATGGTAGAAAGTTAAGGGACGCTGCCAGACGCTATGCGAAATAGTTAAACTGTATTGAGTAGCTAGCATCATAGCGCCTGATAATCTCATGTGTGCAGCTGGTCGGATTGGCAGGTGGCTGAGTCCACTAGCAAAGTCCCTTAGCGCTGCTGCCCGCGAAGAAAAGAATTACTGGGCCATGAACCTGAATTTTCAAACCGAACCCTGCACGCCACAAATTCAATGTCGTAGAGGCCAGGTAAGTACCACAGTACCGTTATATTTTCCACGACAAGGCGAAGTGCAGTTTATTCTCCTAACCAGCACAGCAGAGGTGAAGGGGTGACAAGAACGAAAAAACAGTTAATTAACGAACTGGCGGTGATGAATACAGGCAGATGTTTTTACTCCATAAGGCAACGCAAGGATGCATGCTTTGAGTGCCACGCCGCACCTACTGAGGCCTACCCTACCGTTCACGTCAGTCCCAAATCAGAGCATAATAAGAGAATTGGAAAAAAGATGGTTTACGGATTTGACCTGCACATTAAATATGACCAGTATATATATGAAACAATTCTTTGACTACATTAAGCTAACCGTGCTGCTGGTAACCTCATGATTAGCGAGAAGAAACTTATCACAATGAACATAATAATGTACTTACGCATTCTTGAGACTTCATGACGAAATCTGCAAACGTATATAGAAGTCAATCAGTCAAACAAAAAACATGCTGCGTGAAAGAAACATCCAATTCAATAAACTCTTTAACTAATGACTAACTTTACTATGCAAAGATATACAGCATATAAAATACCAACAAACAACAAGGTACGAAGGTATCATTTAAATCGTTTGGCCTTTTTGGTAAGGAATTTCGATTCCTGTTTATCAGTACTCGCCGTTTTAGTCTCCAACTGGCCAACATATTTCTTAAAAATCTGCACCAAGTGAAGAGTAGTTAAGTTCTCCGTCTTGCATACAACATCGGTGCCATCCGCTGAAGCAAAGCAGAACAAAATCAACAACATGCGCTAATAATCAAACATTTCGCTACCATCATATTTAGTAAAATTTTCATAAAAATAAATGCAGCTTTTGATGCTAAGAACTTATAGTTTCATTTGCTTCAGATTATTCAAATTCAACTATTAAAATTTCTTAACCTAACAGGATTATATGGAACGTTACTCCTATGGTATCGTGGGTATTTCGATGATATGGTGCCGTGATTCTTTAAACGAGCCAATCACACTCAGCGAAGCGTATGTGACGCGGTCGTGATTCAAGTGAACAAGTGAATTTCGGAAAGCTGCATGAAATACTGAAAGACCACACTACGGGCAGAGCAGCAAAGTTCTGTAGGATTATTTTGAAGGAGCCTTATTTCTGATACCGATGCACTGTGTAGAAGCATCCGTCTGAAACGTTAAGACGCTCGTCTCAACAACTTCCAACAGTAAAAACATTCGGATATAAAATAATAAACTCAAAGACATTCAAAAAAATTCTTCAAGTGCAATGGCACAACGCGTTTATAAACGAAAGATCAAACATAACAGCAGACAGAGGCAACTGTCAGAAGAATTCAGCGAATGGATTGGCAGAAATACTGCTTTGGTACTGGGAATGCGTCGCTAACTGATGATAAGTCTCAAATTGTGCTTTTGAACAATGTTCCTCAAAGTCAATGAGAAATTTGACTGGCTCCCAATAAAGAAATGATCGAACCACAGCATTTT